CGTCCATCATATATTAAAATCTACATCCAACCCATCCATCATGAACGGGTTTTCGATTGGATCGGGTGAGTAACGAGTGAATATAAAGGTCAAACTTGAAAGACAATGTAAATAAATTATAAAGTGAAATCATGACAAAAATTAAGAATTCATTGAAAAATTACTACAAAAAATTGAGCAATTAAGAATATTACAATCATTAATTCATTGACGATGATAAAGAAAAAAGTAATTGTCAAACAAAATAGACATAAAATTTCTTCAAGTTGTCAATTCTACATTTCTGCATCAACACAAAACTATCACTTCTTGAAACTCTCCAATTGTCTTTATTTCATCAACTCAAAGTCATAGATATGTGTCTTCTCCATCCTGTCATTATTGACAAAAAATATAAAATTCATTATATAAAATTCACTGCCATTGCTTAGAGGGAGAATTAACAAAAAAAATGAATAAAAACTGAAGAATTTAATCATATTACAGAGTCAAAACATTCATTGGTAGCATTTTGATCCCCTTCCATATCCAAATCTTCCATGATAGTAGCACATGCTTGGGTATTAGCCAAAGAAGTTTCTGAAAAATATTAAATAAAAACATGTCAATTGTCACTATAATTAAAAAAACAACTCAAAAACATATTTAATGAATACTCCCTCCGTCCCAAATTATTTTGCAAAGTCAACATTTTTTGATCAGCCAATAAAAAAAGTCAATGCTCCCTATCGATAATTAATTCAATTTTTAATAATTAAACTTTATATATTCAGAAACTACATTAAAATCTCTTCAAAGTTGTAAACTCCAAATTATAATATAATTAAAAATTGACATCCTAATTAAGCAAATAAAATGAAACTGTTTGACCAAGAAAAGTCAAATTTGCAAATCAATTTGGGACGGAGGTAGTATTAAATAAGTAGTATTTGTTAATATATTAATATTAATTATTATTATTATTATTACTGTTATTAATATATATTATTAAATAGATATTATAATATAAATATATATATATTTATATGCGGGTCGGAAGGTGTGGGTGGATGGAGCGGGTGACGGGGTGGATAAGTGTTCATCCACACCCGATCCAACCCATCTTTCAATCCACCCGTCATCCATTTTTCATCCATATTTCTTTGGGTTTTCATCCATTTTTTCGGTTCGGGTTGACCGGGTATCCGCGGGTGCGGGTGATATTGCCAGCCCTAACACCGCCTAATATAAGGTATTTTCTCAAAATTCGGGGAAAACCAACACTGAGTGCAAAAATATGAGAATTTTATTAGGTTTTTAATAAAATCAGATTCAAAAAGAGGTATTCCTATAGTATTAAGGTTTTTCTATAAACTTAGTCCGAATGGTGTTTTCTCTCAATACGGGACTTGGCCGCCAACAAGTAAAAAATACGGGATTTATTGTCGTGGTTCTGATAATACGGGAAAGATTCTGTTGTAAAATGATGCATTTGAGTGACTTATTATTGACTTGTTCGTTCCTGATTAATTTGAGTGGATTGTTGCTCTTGTCACCAATTTTTGTGCGAGTTGGTACAATCAGGTAATTTTGTAATTATTTACAAAAACCAGGCAACTAATTAGAGAGAAGGGTATCTTCTTTCTTTATTTTCTTTCCGTTGCTCCTTCCTCCTCCGATTTGCTCTTCCCATTTGCTCTTTGGTTTTTCTTTTTTCATTTCTATATAATTTACATTTTTTCTATTCCACTCCACTTATCATTTGTTTGCAGCTTCTTTTCTTGTTTTTTCTCTCTTTTGTCGGGTTAAATGCGTCAAACCCTCTCGTGAAATATAAATTCGGCGCATTAGCCTCTTGTGATTTAAAAAATGCGTCAAATTCCTCTGTGTTTTAATTAATCATGCGCAAAATCCCCTTCAAGAACAAATTTTTCAATTTTGAATTCACGTTTTTAATAATATAGTTGAATATGCAAGTAACTTTGTCAAAATTTCTAAATTATACAAAGCAAACTAACTATTTTTCATCTTTTTTGAAATTAAATTTGTTCTTGGAGGGGGTTTGGCGCATGATTAATGATAACACATGGGGGTTTGACGCATTTTTTAAATCACAAGGCGCTAATGCGCCGAATTTATATTTCACAAGGGGGTTTGGTGAATTAAACCCAACTTTTGTCTGCTACTCTTTTTTCTCCTTTTAATTTTGAAACTTTAATTTTTCTAATTTTTAACTTCTTTTCCTTGTTTCTGTTTTCATTTTTCTTTTTTTCTTTTCCTTTAATTTTGAACTTTAATTTTTCTAACTTTTTCTTTCTCTTTTTTTCTTTTTCTGCTTTTTTTTTCTTTTTATATACTCCCTCCGTCCCATATTTAACTCCGGTTTTGACCGGACATGAGTTTTAAGATAGTGAGATTTGTGTGGTGGAGAGTTATGCAGAGGAGAGAGAAATATGTAAGAATGATTGTGAACCACATATTCTTTACCAAAAAGGGAAAAAGGAGATAAATTTGGGACGGACCAAAAAGGAAAGAATGAAGATAATTCCGGGACGGAGGGAGTATAACTTTTGTCTCTGCTCCTCTAATTTTGAACTCCTATTTCTTTTTCATTTTAATGTAAATTTCCTACAAGAATTTTTTCAGACAATTTTATCATAAATTCATATCGAATGACAGTTCAATAAAAACATATACCTCTCTCACTTTTCTATTAAAAGCTCCAACTTTCTAAATAATTATGAGTATATTATGTAAATTAAATGTGCATTTAATTTAAGGAATTGGTTGGTCTGAAATAAGGAATTGGTGTTTCTTTATGTTATACTAATATGAGCATACACAAATTTATGTTATGCTCATTTTTAAAATGTTATCAATGCAGATTTCAAAAGTACCATATTACATTAGATTTAAAATTCATAAGAGTTGAGCATAGATATAATTTAATATAATTTTTTATAAAAGAAAAATTAAAAAAGTAAGTGAGATAGAATATATGAAGCAAGGATCATGATGCTCATTGTTAGACTCCTGATACTCAACATAATAACTCTAATGCTCACTAAAAATGCATTAATACTCGTTTAGTGGAAGTCAAGAGTTTTACTTAACTTACTAAAATGCCAGTGGTTGTACAATGTTTACTGTATAGCCGGTTGTACCATATATGAATCCACACTACTCCATATTTTATACTTTTAGGGTTACATTTTGCTTCTATTTTTTTTTTAAATTGATGTTAAAATTAAATTTTAATATATCACTACTAGATAAATCGCTATTTGTTGCGGTTAATTTAAGCTATTTGCTGCGGTTCTAAACCGCAACAATTGGCAGGGCAGCAAACAGTAGGAAAACTTATTTGCTGCGGTTCTGAACCGCAGCAATTGGCAAGGCAGCAAATAACTATTTTAAAAAATGGATTTTGACTTATTGATGCGGTTCCGAACCGCAGCAAATAGTTAAAAAACGAAAACCATATTCTTTTGTTTTGTTATATTACCCAATTGATGACGTTTTGATCCAAAACGTGCCATGTTTATGAAATAATAAACACTCATTTTTAAAATATTTGCATCTCATAACACAAATCAAAATCATAATTTTAATACAATTAAATTATACATCACCAAAGTTCAAAATACATACATGTATTGCCATCCTTTTGTAAGTTTATCAAACCTAATAATTTTACAATAAATCATCACATATATCACCAATGCATTGGAACTTCACATACTTCATCATTCAACAAATGTTTTTCTCTTCTGGAACCTTGATAAACCTAAAATACTTATAAAAAACAATTAGAGAAAAAGATGTATAAAAAAACTATGCAATGTTTATACATGCACACAGATTTAATGTTCAAGAAATCACCTCAAAGCTAGCATGTTCAAAATAAAAGGGTTAGAGGATAGCACATCAAAATACTATAACTAAGGGCCCCTTTGGAAGTAGGAACATTGAGAGGAAAGAAAAGTGAGGACAATTTAATATACCAACTTTAGAAATTTGTTGATATTTATTTTATTTAAATGTTTATTAAGGAGAAGAAGAAGAAAGAAAAATTTTAAAATTGCTTCAACTTAATATACCCAACTCCGGATATTTGGCAGCGTTTTAGAGTGACCAAGAAAAGAAGTTCTAGGTGTATATGTATATATAATGTGTGGTCAGTATGACATTTTAATCATCTTCTATTCCTTTTTAACTCATCAAAATATAGACTAATCCCTCCAAAGACATCACTTCCCTTCCATAACCCTCCATCTAACAGATCCTAAATAATGATTGGTAGAGTTTTAGATGAACACAATTCATGCAGCTATTTATCAAGTGTTAAAAACAACTGGGAAAAAACTATGTATTAAACATGGAAAAGTCATACTGCATTTTGGAGGAACTATCCTTGAAAGCATATTAAAAAATCAAATTCCGTGATTAGTGCAAACATTTACCTTATCCTGTTGTTTCACTAATTGCGAGAATTGGTCCACTGCGTGAAACGCTTTTGACCTCACATCGTTGTAGCATAAAAAAGAAGAACATATCAGATAAACAAGAAAACAGTGACGTAAATTATTAGGAGCAACAACAAATTACCAAGGAACCATCAAATAAACAATATCAGGGAAAGGGATCTGTGACTATTACTTCAGCTTCTATTGATACCTGTCAGGATCAATACTAAGAACAACAATGTTTGGCAAAATTCATGTTGCGATCTCAGTTACGTCATAACACCTGTCGCCAAAAGAGTATCCACATTTGTAAATATTGAAGTCAGAAGCAGCCGGTGAGAGAGGAATTTGGGCCATGGGAAGAAGTCAAGGAGTTTCATCACGAAAAATAAATTTCAAATATACTCCCTCTATCCCATTTTGTACGATGCATTTTTCTTTTGGGTTGTCCCAAAAATATGAATATTTCCTAAGTTCAACACTATTAACTTTTGTCTTCCCACTTTTGTTTTTTGGTCCCGGTGGGCAAACCACCAAAATCGGTGGGGTAAATATCGAGGAATATTTACCGAGTTTTATTAAAAAAGGAAGAAAGATACAACAGAAGAGGGGGACTAGACCAAACCTCTTCAGAGAAGGCATTCCTTCTCGAAATACAAAATCCAGAGAAAAAACGAGAGCAAAAATAATTTGGGGGACTAGACCTTACCCAAAAGTACAATTCAACAAAATCTAAAGTAACTAAGTCCTAGTTTATCAGCTAACAAAAAGCGTCGAATATAAGATGGGATTCGTCTCTAATTGAGTCAAAAATAATAAAATCATCTGAAAATTGTTTAGCCATTAAATGCGCTGGCCAGTTGGCCTCTTGTCAACCATCCATCTTCTCAACTCCAAAACCAGCTTCCTCCACCTTCCCGCCAAACTGATATTTTCAATAGCCACAACCACCTGCTGCGAATCGGATTCAATCTCAAAAGACCGATATCCCTTTCCAATAGCCCAAGACACCGATCTATGTAGCGCAATAAACTCTGCCTCCAAAGAGGAAGATGCCGAGATATGAAAATGAAGAGCAAACAGGAACTCCCCTGACCTGGATCTCATTACCGCCCCTCCTGTCGCTTTACCATCGAAGAAAGAAGCGTCAACATTAAGCTTATAATCTAACTCAGGTACTTCCCACTTTACTAATTGTAGAACGGGCTTAGCAGACTTAAAGGATTTAGGTAAGAGATGTTTTTCGTAAAGAATAGGATCAGGAGACCCAACCTTAAGTTTAGAGAGTTTCACCTCTGACCATTGTCGGCTGAAAAACTTTATTTGCTGAATAATCAGCCTATAATCTGGGATTGTGTTGGCTTCGCCTCAACTGATCTGACAATAGATCTTTCATATGTGCCATGTTATAATTCCTGGGATGTTATGCTTGTAGATATCCATTAGATTCTTAGATCCTGCCTCCAGCCACCTGGATAAATATCCCTTAATTTGCCTTTTTTACGTTGTGTGGACCAGTGGACCCATACTACTTTTTCTTAGACTTTGAAGGTTACAACTGTAAAACATCAACTACATTTATTATTTTCTTAGAACCCGTGTAAAACCTAAATGTATCTTACATTATGGGGTGGATGGAGTACCATATTTTCAGATGCTATTTTCATGTAGTCATGCAGAAAGACTCGGGAGAAAATCAACTTGCAAAGATGTCCTAAAATATAAAAATGAAATGTGGAATATCTACCTGCTCCTCGGGCTGGCGAAAATGTGTCACGCAGAGCGCATGCAGTGAATGCATTCATTTATAAGAACTCTTTTCCTTGTCTGCATGAAGAAAATAAATTAGATTTCCGTTTAACAAGAATATCAGTGAAACCAATAGAAACTCAATCAACAGAATATCATTTAACAAGAATAAATATTAAACGATATTAACAGGTGACTTCAATCTCAAAGTTTACCCCTTCGTTGAGGTGACTGGCAATATTTCCACCTACATCATGAACAGAGAACATGTAAGGAAACAACACACCACAAAAAGAATCACATGAAACTTCCTCCATCCGTTGATAAGGTTCACACTTGGACTTGGCATGCTTTTTAATAATTTTTTTTTATGTTTTGCTTTTGAACTTTCAAGTTTCCCCTAGGAACATGTGGTAGAGAGTATTAGTAGTGGCAGGGGTGGAGATATTAAATGAGGGAAGTAGCTAAAGTTAACAACTCCTTTCCAAATAGATTAGGATTTAGGATCATAAAGAAAAGATGACCTTATTTGGGACAATCCCAAAAAAGAAAGTATGAATATTGTTTAGGTTCGAAGGGCGGAGTGTGTTGAAAGCTGACCAAGCTTCGTGTGCATGAGTGATACACGCAACATACATACGTGGCTTTGAGGAAAAGAAATGATCTTTTCATTTTATTTAAAATAAGATTTAGTCTTCATGTTTAGCTACTTTTGTGGAGTCAGTTCAGCACTTTAGTTTATTGCTTTTGAACGTGTGATCAGGCCTAAATACTAGGAGTTAGTTGAGTCATTAGTGGATCACTTTGTTTAACATTATTATGGCTATATATAGCCTTGTTACTTCAATAAAATATATGATTAGATACAGCAGATTATTAGCTCGTTTATGCTTAAGCTTTCAGTTTATATTTCCTTCTGTATCCCAGTTTTAGACTACATTTGGTATCAGAGCCTTAAGGTGATAAATCCTTTGGTAGTGTGAGTGTTTTCGTGAGAGTAAAACACATTCTACGAGTCAGTTCTTCACCATGCAAAATACTAATGGTACTGGGAATTCTTTGAATCAATTGCCCATCTTCAAAGGGATCAACTTTCATTTTTGGAGTCTAAAAATGAAAACCCTTTTCAAGTCACAAGAGCTGTGGCATACGGTTGAGCATGGGTTTGAGGATGATGGTGCTGATGAGCCAGATCAAGCACTCAGGGAAAGGAGGAAAAAGGATGCTAAAGCACTTTATATCATTCAACAATCCTTGGATGATGCTATCTTTCCACACATTGCAGCAGCTTCTACAGCAAAAGAAGCATGGAGTATTCTAAATAAAGAGTATGTTGGTGACAAGAAGGTAGTTGTTGTACGCCTACAATCTCTCAGAAGGGAATTTGAAAATTTCCAAATGAAGCAGAAGGAAACAGTCCCAGAATATCTTTCAAGAGTGTCCACAATCGTTCAGGAAATGAAAACCTTAGGAGAAGAGATCAAGTCAAGTCAAGTTGTGAGTAAGGTTCTCAGGAGCCTCACCAAAAAATATGAGCATGTAGTGGCAGCAATTGAAGAATCAAAAGATCTGGAGACTTACACCTTTGAAGATTTGAAGGGTTCTCTTCAAGCCCATGGAGAAAGGATATGCAAGGAAGAAGATTCAACAGAAGAAAAAGCCTTCCAAGCTAGAGGAGAATCTTCAAATCAACAAAGGTCTCATCAACAAGCTGGCAGAGGTAGAGGGAGAGGAGGCTCTAGAGGAAGAGGTAGAGGCAGTGGGGCAAGGAATGAGGGGAGAAATCAGTCCTCTCAACCTAGCAAAAGCCCTGTCAAGTGCTACTATTGCAACAAATCTGGCCATAAGGAAGTAAATTGCTGGAAGAAGGCAGAAGATGAACAAAAAGAAGGTCAGAAATCCAACTTTGTAGAGCAAGAAGAAGAGAAATTGTTCTTGGCTCAGGATGCAGCAAATGGAGTGGAGGAGTGCAGTGTATGGTATATTGACAGTGGTTGTTCAAACCATATGTCAAGTGCCAGGGCTATGTTCAGGAATCTGGATGAATCAATGAAGAACATGGTCAGGCTGGGAGATGGAAAACAGCTTGAGGTACAAGGCATGGGAACAATTGCTATCACAACTGAGAAGGGCAACACCAAACTCCTTTGTGATGTGCAATATGTACCCAAACTGGCTCATAATCTACTGAGTGTAGGGCAGCTGGTGAACTCAGGATACTCAGTAGTATTTGAAAATGGAACTTTGTTAGTCCCTGTTTCTGTAACAGCAATGAATAATCGATCTAACAAGGAAGATTAAACGTAAATATGAACACAGAATGAATCACCGTAAGACCTTCTTTGATAAACCGTGGAACGTACAGCAGAATGATAAGCGTAAGGCTATGAATAATAAGTACGACGTTCAGCCTTTTCCTAAACCTCGACTCCCTTTTTATAGGCGAGGTTTAGGTTAGGCGTACCAGGCTTTTGGCCTGTTTAAATGGGCCTAACACTTGGCCTGATTTCTATCTAATTTATGCACTATTTAAATACAAGGATTAAATATAAAGCTAATCTATGACCAACTTGATTCACAATTAAATATCTCCAACAATCTCCCCCTTTGTGATCAAGTGCCATTCTCTTATTGCTTCTGTGATTTGAAGTAGTGCTTCCTCAAACCAAGTGCATGTTCATACTGCCTCAGCACATTTCTCTTTTCGAGGCGATCGTCAATGGCCTTTAAAATTGTCTCTACAGTAGAGTGTTCCTTTTGAACATAAGACGATGTCTCTTGAAGATTTTCCTCTAGCTTTGCCTTCATCTGTAGAATCTGCTCTCTGATTATCTTCAGTGTTCCGTCACAGTACTTCTCGATTTCACTGACTACCATCAGACGCTTTTCGTTCTTGTGGTTCAGATAGGTGACTGCTGGCGGTGTGAAGAAGATGTGGTAGGCTGGGAAGTCTTCAAGTTCTGGACCATACAGTCTTGGCTTTGTCAGTTTTGTTTCTTCAGATTGCATTCAATAGCCATCTGTAGGTCATGTGAAGAGTGTACTCGGATCTGTCTAAGCATGAATCTCTTGATAGCTGCGAGGCCTTCGCTGTATACTATGCTCTGCCTGACTGGAAGGTATCTGTAGGCCATGAGCATTTGGTAGATGTCATCCGGTTTCAGCATAATGAAGTCGTTCTCTTGACAAGTGAATTCGCTCCCATCGGTGCGTTGAAGTCTGTAAGTGTAGAATGTTACTCCATGATAGTCTTCAGCCTTCACTTGTAGAATTTGATGAATCGGGAGAATATTCGACTTCAGATCTTGTTCCATTAGTTCTCTCTGTGTACCGGTTGACCTTTGCAGCAACATATGCAGATGACCTCCAGCCTGCTTTCCTTTCAAGTGAGTAAGGCCTCTTAGCTTCAGTTCGTTCAGTGGCTTGACTTTGTCTGGTCTACGTCAGATATGCTCTCTGATTTCTTCTTGGAAGGGGGCTTTGATACGAACATTATCCCAGGGTTTCTCTGTCTTGGGAAGTCTTCCCGCTGTTTGTCTTACGACTGATTCAAAAGTCTTCTGGGATTCCTTGTAATTCTCCCCTTCCTTGCGTTCATCGTCCTCGAGCCGTATAATATCTTCAGAGCATTTGTTGATCAGCTCTCGTAGCCACCAGTTTCTTTGCATGTCCTCTTGCTCGGCTTCAACCCGAAGATCATCCCATTCTGTCCATTTTCTTGGCCATTTGTCGTATATCACCGCCTCTTCCAGTGCATCATGGATGTCTTTGCCTGGGGAAATATATGGAATTCTTTGTTCAGGCGGTGATTGTTCCTGTGTAGCACTACCGGGTTCACTAGGATTGCCCGTTGACATCAGCTTAGAACTGGGTTCCAACTGATGTCCTGATGGAGAAGATGTACCAGTGGTAACATCATCAGGACTTCCATCCCCTCCTCGGTTGGTATCTCTGGGAGATACGCCTCGGGATGTTATTTCTAGCTCAGACCGAACCGCTTGGGTGGTCCTAAATTCCTGTGCTAGAGCGGTCATTACATCTTGCACCCATGGTTTAATGGTGGAATCTAGGAAGCGATTTAGTAGAACGTTTACGTCTTCAAAGGTAGGGTGACCAGTTACGGGGGTTGTAACTGTTGACACAGCATCAGTGAAGATTGCTGATGTGTGGCCTGCATTTAATGATGGAATCATTATGGGCGTAGCAGGGCTTCCAACCGTCATAGCTTGCGCTCTGGTTGTTGCGTTCAGGGTGAGTGCACCTGTATGTGCAGTGAATAGTGTAGGTGTCCTAGAAAATGAAGAAAATGTGGGAAATGTGACACCTAGACTCGATGTGAGAGAAGAAGGGGTTTTGACCTCGGGAGATGGGTCAATTGTATGCTCAACTGATTCAGAAGGAACCAGTGAGGGGGTTGAGTCCCGTTCTTTTGAAACAATAGCCTTTTGAGAGGCAATTGAGTGGCTGGGAGAGGGCTGTGCATGCGCAGTTGAGCCAGATGCTGCGACTTCTACCCGGGAACCGAAAAGATCGGCTCTTGTGCTTAGGGATTCGGCTCGGCTTATCTGGATAAAGGAGTCGCAGCCCGCAAAGATGTGCTCGTCTGCCTTATCAAACAGACTCTTTTTGGTTTGGGACTGGGGCTTAGCCTTGGCAGCCTTGTCATTTTTTACCTTAGCCCTGGTCTCTCGGATGACAACTTCTTTCGAGTTGATTGACGCTTTAATCGTATGAGCCGCCTCGTCATAGTCGTCCTTTGAGTAGTTTGTCTCGCTGGAAACAACTATCGGCTTAGCTTTCTCCTTGATGGTGAAGACTTTGGGTCTGCCAGCGATTATTGGTGCTGCATCTTCAGCAGTTATTCTTTTCTTCTTAGGAGATTCAACTGGCAGTTTCCCTTTTCTGATTAGAGCATATGTTAGCTCCACATCATCACTGTCATTGTCGTCGTCGTCATCATCCGAGCCAGAATCTCCGCTCTCTGTGCCCACGCTCTCGGAAGCCTCGTCGTCAGTGTTCGTTTGGGCTTCACTCGACGATTCATTGGCCGTCTCCTCAGCGTCTTTTTCGGTGCCCTCAGCCGCCTGACTCGTCTCTAGAGAGTCGTCAGACTTCCCTTCATTGGGCAAACCGGCCACTGGTTTCTGTGGCTTTTGGGCTCTCTTAGGACCCTTACTTACACTCGGCTTTGTCCCTTGGGTAGGTCCAGCTGGGTTTTGCTGAACCATAGGGACGGTTTTCTCGGTGGCTTCTTTGTATTGTTGGACTGCTGGATTTGAAGATTTTACCAGCTTTAGCAGAAATCCAGGTATCTTCAGACCATAAGTAGGATTCTTGTCTGCTTTGAAGTACTGTAGCTTCGGTGTTGTGAAGTGAGGATCTGTACTGCGTCTTGGTATGGAGGCGTGCTCTGCCATGCAGTCGTGTATGATCAGCCCGAGCCATCTAGCGTACGGAATGGTACCTGGCCTATTCGTTTCTTTGGCTTTGACTAGGTCCATTAGTTCTGAGAAGAAGAGCTGTGCCAGATCGTAGTTCTTGTTGAACGCGATGCCATGAAAGACCAGCAATATTTGCTTGTTGCACTTGTCGAAGCCGGCATGCTTAGGCGACAGGCACTTGTTCACCAGCCCAAATAGATTTTTCCACGGATGGTGAAGATATGCTCCGTTAAAGTTGGAGAGCTGTGGCAGTAATGAGGTGTAGCCTAGGGACGCCACGTCTTTCAATAGATCTGGGATGGACGGCAGTGCATCGTATTCGTCATGTATCGGCAGCGATAGAGTAGTCCGTAGAGTGGATGGTGTCAGAATCACCCGCATGCCGTTCAACTTGGTCTTGATCTTGGAGCAATCCTTCAATGAATCCGTGTGCATGTGACCCCAAAACTGTTGTAGGTATATCTCTGGCACTGGTTTGGCGTTGTGAAGTGCAGGCCAGAGATAGTGACCTTTCATTATGGCCGGAATGATCGGGTTCTGGCACTTGAAGACGGTGAGGTCTAGCTGGAAGTTGTTGCCCAGCACCTTGATCCACTTGCCCTTAGGGTAGATGGCGTCGTCAATCTGTGTTTGAGTGTTTCCTGCCATTTTAAACTGTAGAAGCAGGGGTCAGCACATGAAGTTCAACTGTTGATTTGATTTTGAAAGAATTTAATTTGCTGTTTTCAGATAAGTTTATGCAGATGGAGTTTTGAAAAAAAATTCTAAGTTCAAATCTCAAATCTCGAGATTCATATCTCGAGATCAAGATGTCGAGATGCAGATCTCGAGATCTTGATTTCGAGATTCACATCTCGAGATCATGATTTCGAGATTCAGATCTCGAGATCTTGATTTCGAGATTCAAATCTCGAGATCAAGATGTCGAGATGCAGATCTCGAGATCTTGATTTCGAGATTCAAATCTCGAGATCAAGATGTCGAGATGCAGATCTCGAGATCTTGATTTCGAGATTCAAATCTCGAGATCAAGATGTCGAGATGCCCATCTCGAGATCTTGATTTCGAGAAGATGAATCGACGATCTCGAGATCTTGAAATCCAAAATCTCGAAATCGTGATTTCGAAGCGAAGAATCCACCTGCAAATACAACGATATAACAAAACGATAACAAGCTATTTCGACCTATAATCTAACAAAAACCTTTTTTTTTATTTTTATTTTGAAAAAAAACGATCGATTTGCGAGAATGATCGTTCGTTTTCGAACGATGTTGAAGATTATGATTTCGAACGAAGAACTACCTTCGTAAGTAGTTGTGAATAAGAAACGGGAGATGGAGATTGCGAAAACGGTCTGAGGGGATTTCGAAAACGGTATTTCAGGAAGAAGAAGGAGAAACGGTCAGGAGCTCTGAGATGCGAAAAGTCCGTGCCTTTGCGAAAAGATTTTAGAAACATAAGAATGAAGGGTTTCACGAGGGCTTATATATGCGAGAAGATTGGGCCTCTTTCGAAATAGATGAGCCCGAACCAGTAAAAAATAAAGGCTCCCCCTCAATCAGTGAAAATTAGCTCCCCCTCAAACAGTGAAAATGTTCTCCCCCTCAAAAAATGCAACGAACAAATATGTACAAATGCAACGCACACACACTATTTTTTTTGTTCTTTTTGATTTTTCACACACACTCAACACATGCAACACACGCACACTATTTTTTGTTATTTTTCTGGTTTTCTCCCCCTCAACACATGCAACGCACACACACTATTTACAAATCCCACACACACACACTTTTTACAAGTCCCCCCCACACACACACTTTTTAGATCAATGGAGACATAATTAAACGGGCTCGAGGTTCAACATGCCCAACTTGGAGACTAAGAACTGGAATCGTTTTTCATCCAATGCCTTAGTGAACAAGTCAGCCAGTTGAAGCTCTGAGCTTACAAAATACATGTCAATGTCTCCTTTTTCCACATGATCCTTGATGAAATGATAGCGCAGGTCGATGTGTTTGGTGCGGGAGTGATGAACCGGGTTGCTGGTGATGGCTATGGCGCTTTGTGAGTCACTGTAGATCGGGATATGGCGGAGAGTGTAACCGTAGTCCTTTAGCTGGGTCTTCATCCATAATATTTGTGAACAACAGCTAGCAGCCGCGACGTATTCTGCCTCGGCCGTAGATGTTGACACACAGTTCTGTTTCTTGGAAGACCAGCAGACTAACTTATCGCCCAAGAATTGGACTGCCCCCGATGTGCTTTTGCGGTCCATCCGGCAACCAGCAAAGTCAGCATCCGAGTATCCGACTAGGTCAAAACCTGAGTGCTTGGGATACCAAAGGCCTAGATTCACAGTGCCTTTGAGGTATCTCAGAATTCTTCGAACAACGGTCAGATGGGATTCCTTCGGATTTGCCTGAAAGCGTGCACATAAGCATGTGGAGAAAACAATGTCAGGCCTGCTTGATGTGAGATATAGCAAAGATCCAATGATGGCCCTGTAGTTTGTAGCATCAACTGGCTCCCCGGAGGGGTCTGAGTCCAGTTTGTTGTTTGGGGACATGGGGGTCGTCATGGAAGATTTGCCATCAATGTTGAATCTCTTAAGCATTTCCAGAATGTACTTTGACTGATTGATGAAAATGCCGTCAGAGAGTTGTCTTACTTGCAGGCCTAGGAAGAAATTCAGTTCGCCCATCATGCTCATTTCGAACTTGGTTTTCATCAGTTTCTCAAAGTGTTTGCACAGGCGTGGATTTGAGGAGGCGAAGATAATGTCATCAACATAGATCTGAATCAGGATGATGTCAGACTTCTGTCGCTTTGTGGGCCGCGTACGCAAGAAAAAGGCGGATTGCTTCAATTCTTGCTACGGGTGCAAATGTTTCATCGTAGTCTATGCCTTCTTGCTGATTATATCCTTTAGCGACCAGTCGTGCCTTGTTGCGTATCACTATGCCTTCTTCGTCCTTCTTGTTCTTGAACACCCATTTAGTGCCAATGATGGTTTCTGAGGGGGTTTAGGCACGAGTGTCCACACATCTAGTCTGTCAAACTGATTGAGCTCATCTTGCATGGCAATCACCCAATCTGGATCAGCGAGTGCCTCTGAGACTTTGGACGGTTCATTCTTGCTTAGAAAGCATGCATAGTGACATTCATTTGTTGTTGTTGATCTTGTTCGCACACCTTGACTTGGATCACCTATTATCTGTTCAACAGGATGTGCTCTCGTCCACTTCCTCTCATGAGCTAGAGGAGTTGGAGTAATTATTGGTTGATCTGAGTCCTGATATGAGTTTGAAGGCTCTGGGGCAGCTGTGGTGTGTAGTGGAGATGATTTCGGACTTATGGCAAAGCCGTGATCATCCACACCTCTGGGATTGGTTTGAGGGGTTGAGGGTGTGGATGGTACGTCATCTGGTCCTGTGAGGAGCGGAATCTCTGTTGTTGGAGTTGATGTTGACTCTGGAGTGTATGCAGGAGGTGGAGATTGTGAGTTCTCGTAAAAGTTTCTGAAGAGAGAGTCGAGAATCACATCGTCGTGTTCGGTGTTTGGTTCAGCTTTATCAGAAGCTACTGGTACAGCAGTGGATGGATCGGTCTGGAGATGTTCAATAGCAAAGTCTGCCATTTCATAGAATGTAACGTTTACACTCTCGATGACAGTCCGCTTGTCTCTGAGATAGACTCGGTAAGCTTTGGATTGCAGTGAGTAGCCAATGAACACGCCTTCTCTGGCTTTGGGATCCAGCTTACTTCTCTCTGTCCGATCATTGAGTATGAAGCACTTGCAGCCAAAAACCTTGAGGAAAGAAATATCAGGAGTTTTGTTGAATAGGATCTCATATGGAGTCTTGTCGAAGCGCTTGTGGATGAAGGTTCTGTTCTGTTCTGAGTGAAGCACGCAGTATTGATTGCCTCTGCCCACATGAAGTGAGGCAGTCTTGATTGAATTAACATGGTGCGTGCTGCTTCAACAAGGGTTCTGTTTTTTCTCTCAACAACTCCGTTCTGCTGGGGAGTTTTAGCTTCTGCAAATTGCTGAGTGATACCGAGTGACTCATAGAACTCAGTGAGAGTCTGATTTTTAAACTCGGTACCATTGTCAATTCTCACAATTCGAACACTGTGCTGTAGCAGTTTCTGGATCGTTCTGATAAAGGTCATAATGTTTTCCGCAGCTTCGTCTTTTGATCGGAGAAATTTTGTCCATGTATACCTAGAGAAGTCATCAACGATCACCAGAGTGTATTTGCGACCGTTGATGCTTTGTACTCTCATAGGTCCACACAGATCCATGTGTATTAGCTGCAACTGATGAGTAGATGAAGGTTCGGTTTTTGACTTGTGGGAGCTTCGCGTCATTTTGCCCATTTTGCAGGCACTACAATGATTTTCAGCGGAAGACTTTAGCAGAGGAAGCCCCTTGACAAGTTTCTTGGAGGACAAGGTTGATAGATGTTTGAAGTTCAGATGGGAGAGACGTCTGTGCCATAGGTCGTTCTGTTCAGTTGAAGCTTTGGACAGCAGACAGATGGAAGTGGTGGATTGGACGCTTTTCAGATCAATAGTGTACAGATTTGATGTTCTGTAACACGTTAATAATGTATTCCCTGTGCTGTCAAGAACACAGCATTGTTTTGCAAAGAACCTCACTTCCATCCCGCTGTCACATAATTGTCCAATGTTCAGTAAGTTGTGTTTGAGCCCTTTGACGAAAGAAACATCTTTTATTGTGACACTGGCACAGACGACGTCCTCATACCCAAGGATAGGAGATGAGGCGTCATTCCCGAATCTGACATTTCCTCCGTAGCAGTTGGTGTAGTTGCTCAAAAGGTGCTTTATTCCGGTCATGTGGGTTGAGCATCCTGAGTCTAAGTGCCACACATGACCGTCCTGCAAAACAATCAAATAGGTTTAGGTACCCAACTTGGAGTGGGTCCTTCCTTATTATCAAGAAACACCTTTTTAAATCTTGCTTTGAGCAGTGATCCAAGGTCAGCTGCTCTTTCAACAAAAGATCTATCTTTGATGGGCTTTCCAATAGCCAGATCTGCTTTTGCAGTGTGTCTGGTTTTTGGAGTCCACCTAGCAATTTCCATTTTGATGGGTCTGATGTTGTGAACCCACCTTTCCATTTTAGTCCTTGTGGGTCTAAGTTTGGGGACCCACCTTTCAGTTGCAGTTATGATGGGTCTTCGATTGGGAACCCACCTTTCAGTTTCAGTTTGGATGGGTCTTCGTTTGGGGACCCACCTATCCGTTTCAGATTTGGTAGGTCTCATCTTGGGGACCCACCTTTCCGTTTCAGTTTTGGTAGGTCTCATCTTGGGGACCCACCTCTTAGTTTCAGCTTTGACGGGTCTTATCTTGGGGACCCATCTTTTCATTTTAGGTTCAGGAGGAGAGTAGACAGGTGCTTTGTGATTGAACGGTTGTTTCTTAAGTTTGGTTTTGAAAATCTTCTCCTTAGAAAGCCGATTAAGATGTTTCCTAGAATGAACTCTAAGGGCATATTTCATATCAGGAATACAAAACGTTCCCTTAGAAGTTCCTTTCTTGGTTTCTTTTTCAGGTTTAAGCTTTCTGGAAGGCTTAAATTTAACAACATTCATATCACATTCATAATTATGGGGATC